TGTTCAATTTCTGCTGGATGATATATTTTTTCAAATTTCCATTTACAAAGTGTTTTTCTCATCACATTTCTATTTACGGTGGGTTTTTTGCTTGCTAGAATAGTGCAATACAAGTTACTCCTTATTACACATAAAATTGAATTTGCTCGGTTGGTTCATTTCTTAAATGTAGTGAAGTCTTGAAGATTGTAGTTTTCATAACTTTTTTTATTTTCCAAAGAGGATGCAGCAGTCTGGGAACACTCCTCTGCATATTGCCGTAGTTGCTGTGATGACAAAGAGCACTAAAATCCTGGAGGAGGACATCAGCTGCATCTCTGAGCTGTTGGAGCATGGAGCGAATGCAAACACCATAAACAAGGCGGGGATGTCACCATTGCATCAAGCATGCAGCCTTGGCAATGAGGAGCTGCTGGATCTGCTGCTAAGATACGGAGCTAGCGTCAATAAACTGAGCGGAGCAGGCGAGAGCTGTCTGTTTCTGTTTCTGGACCAGCGACCTAATCTGAGGAACAACTCTCTCCTGATGAAACTGCTTAGTCTGAGCTCCCCGCTCACAGTCTGCAACCAGAACGGCTGCTTACCTTCAACCTTAAATCAACAATGTTTCCTCAAACAGAGACGACAACTGTTCAACCTAACTCAGCAGCCAAAGAGGCTTCAGGATATTTGCAAAAGTCAGATCTATCTGAAATATATCAGAGGACGACAGAAAGAACTTCAAAAAATCCTTCCTGAAAGCTTGTATGCTTTTGTCTTTAACCAGTGGGAGATCAAAAACCTTTCCTTTGTGGTCGACTGAAATTGATTTTCCTCAAAAAATAAAATCATCTATAGGAAGGTGATCTCCTGTTTATCCAGAATCCTTTCCTCAGAGAGCTCAAGCCTTATTTATAGGAAACAAAATCATCTCTACAGCTTCAGCTCATTGAAGGAATACAGTAAATACCGCTTTATGCAAAAATAAAACATGTTTGCTTGATCTGTTTGCACCTTTTTGTTCTCTAAAAGAGCCAACTTCTTATCAACTGTCACAGATCCCCCAGCCTCACAGTAGTGACTGTAGAAGACCCAGATTTGATCCAGAACCAGGAGACCACAGAGGCCATCTGAACTCAGACCCACCAAAAGCCTTTGCTAAGCTTTTCTAAGCTTTAGAGAAGCTGCAGTTTTCCAAAACGAAGATCAACATAGTGTGATCATTTCCTGCGTTTACTGTTGTTTAAAGGATGCAAGGTGGTAGGGCAGGGTGATAAACCGGTGGTCTGTCAGCTCAGCATACCGCATCAGGCCAGCATACCCATAATAATACACACGTGCACGCCTATTACTGCACAAAGTCAAGACCGCATGGAAGAGCCATCAGATCGCCATACCCTTCAAAAAACACCAAAAAGTAGTCATTAATTATTTTTTTTTTTGGACACGAGTAAAAAGGATAGTTTAAAGTGTATTTATCGTAATAAGCTTAAGAGATACTGAGGTAGCTTAAAGTTTATTTAGAGAAGGGTCTACTGCCATCTACTAAACGCGTCCCATACTAAACACACGTCCCGCCCCGCTAATGGAGGATACTGATTTGGACATTACGTCATCTTGGATTCAGAGGCTTGGCGGAGAAGAAGGAAGATTAATTAAAGTGAATCAAACGTGAGCAAGATGCCTGCTAGTAACTTGGCCCATAAAAAAGTTAGAGTAATCTTGTTCAATGTTGGGATTAAAGGAGTAGATCATTCCATGATCAAAATGCTGTACTATTTTACCAAGTATTTTATTTTCTTATATCATATCATTTTCCAGGTATTTCTAAGTTAATTAAATAAAACAGCATGATTGGCTGTAAGGAGAGCGGAGACAGAGGACACTATGTAATGCGTATTAATAAGGGTATTCTGGCCTGATGGGGTATGCTAGCATATGTGTTTTCAAATGTGTATGTGTTTTATCCACCTGGATCTCCGCTCTTTTTGGCCCTCATGTCCCTCCGTCGTCGGACTAAACTCGCCCCCACTTCCTCGCC